AAAAAAAAAAAAGATTTAAATAGCCTAACTACGCAGATTTTATTTTACCAAAAAGGATCTTCCATCAAAGAGACTGAAAGCTTGATTAACAACACTGTTTTGAGTTACTGTTTTCTGAAATAAATTTGATGTTGATGAAAAAACGCATGTAAGTTCAGTTCATTAGAGGATGTCAAGATAAAGCAAATTTAAGACTAAAAACGTTCACTAGTGAGCTAAAAACTGATTTTCTATTAATTTTTGCCCTTACTTAATGCGTTTCAGTTCTGCTATTATTCCAGAAAGAAGCAATGCTAATGGCAGCCAAAAATGGTTTCGATAAAATTGTTGAAGTTCTGGTTGAGTACGGCACCAATTACGGCACCGATATCAACGCAACAGATTCGGATGCGGTACTACTTTGTCCTTAAAATTTAAAGTTATGTATACTTTGGAAGCGTTGAACTTTTATAATTTTGCTATAGCGTGAAAAATCTAAAGTTACAAAGATTTTCTCACCAGTAGAACTTTATTATTTAAATAATGTTAAATTTGGTCAAAAAGCAATAAAACTGAAGACTCCAGGAAACTTTTGAATAGCTGTTGAGATAGACTTGATTATAAATGCAAAAAAGGTAATTTATTGAACTATCAGAAAATGTTATAATATGATACAGTTCACGAGTAGCCAAAAACGGTATCGTTCACCGTCTTTTTCTTTCCTTAGAGTCTTAATATAACTCAATCCGTAGCAACAAACACACTCTTTCACAATGATTTTAATGCTGAAAATCAGCTGTGCAGTGGAAGTTTTGTAACTGCTAATAGATGTAGCGTTTTTAACAAGAAATAAGGGTAAAAGTACTACTATTAGGGGCAAATGTTTTTTTTTTTTGAAATTAATCAAATTTTTGTTTTGATTCATTTCAAACTGTTCTGCAAGACAGTCAATCAACAGTAAAAAAAAACGAATTCTCTTTCAGAAAACTTTCAAGAAAGAGATTTTTGAAGAAAAATACCAAATTTTTAAGCGATGCTCTATAATTCACGCAATTATTAAGTGAACAGTTAAAAAAAACATTGAAAAAACATTATTTATTCAGAAAACTTTGTTAATGTTGGCATCAGAAAATGGCCACATCAATTTGGTACGCTTTCTGGTGGAAAAGAATGCCGATGTTAACACAGAAAACTCGAACGAGGTATCACATTTTTTGAAAAATTTTTAATAATTGTAGTTTTTTTCAACGAAAAATGTGGTGAAAAATTGGTTGTTAGAGGCGAGCATGTTTGAAGCAAATTTGCAAATTTCTTCTTTATATCATTCAAAAGTGTTCTTTGAAAAAGTAAATAAACGAGAAGTTAAGCAATTTTTACTTGAGGTAATTTTGAAAAGACGGTCAATGAGCAAAACTAACAAAACTTTAAATATTCCTCTACAAATTAAGCAATTATTATTTGAAATAGTAAAGCGAATTGTGAAAAAGTGTCATTTACTCAGGAAACGCCGTTAACGTTGGCATCAGAAAATGGCCATATCGATGTGGTACGGTATTTGTTGAAACGTGGAGCAAATGCTAATGCAGGGACTAGTCAACTGGTGATTCTTTGCGCTGAATATTGTCATACGTTTTCATAGGGTAGTTGAGAACCAAGAACTAAAAGTTCTTTCAGTCTTTTTTATACGAGTTAAAAATATTTAAGGTTTGTTCAGTGTTTTTCATAAAATTCAAATTCCTATGAAAGATCAACGCTGTTTAGTTTTATGGAGTATACTGAAGGTTATTAGTAATGAAGAGTTTGAGACTGTGGTTGTTACATTGTTTTTGATTGTCGGTGAAAAAAGCGGGAGGTATTTTAATGAACCTTTATGCAGTTTGTAAAGGAAAGTCTATTGCAAACTGTTTACAAATAAGGAAAATATGGAAAACCTCGTCTATTCTTATTCTCTGCATGACAGAAATCCTTTTTTTGTTTTCTGTCTTCAGTTCTAATTAGCTGTAAGGTTGTATTTGTTTAGGTTAGATTACTTGTAAAATCCAGCAGAAAACAAAGCAGAATTCTTAGTTGAGGACAGTGACAGAAAAAAATTTTTGTAAAAAAGAAGTCCTTTTGTCATTTTGTTTCAATTATTTGTGGTTACAGAGAAAAAAATGTTGGTTATGAGTTTCCTTAATGTTACTGGCGTTTTTAAATTTTTCAAAGCTTCAAAAACATTTTTTAAGAAAAGTTTTAAATGTTAATTATTCTGCTTCGTGTGAGTTAAGAGACGGGTAACGGATATAGTAAAGAACAGTGAGCTTATTTCACCATGTAAAAAATATGGTTTAGAAATTATGTGTAGCTTTAACTTAATAAAGCTGTTTCAAAATCTTCTTATTACTCTAAAAAGCCAAAGTTGTTTATTTGCTTTTTCTTGTCTGGTAGCGTGAAACAAACACTTGACATTTTTTCTAATCTTTTTTTGTAACAGCCTTGCTGTCGTATAATCTTGCTGCGTATGAAGTACAGGAAGAAAACAGAGGAACGATACTTCTACTTTTATTTTTTAGGAGCATGCACTTAATTTGGCAAGGAAGCGGGGACACGAGAATATTGTCAGATTGCTTATAGGTTAGTGGTCAACAAAACGTTCAATTTTTCTTCAAATTTTGTTTCAGTTTATATTTGCACTAACTAAAGTCTTTCTTC